CGGTCCCCGGCTTCTCCGCGAGGGCGCCGAGGGGCCACGGGGGCGATCCGCGAGGCACCCCGCAGAGCAGCCGGGCGGCCGGCTCCCTTCATACCTGCCTGTAAAAATGACCCGTGCGCCACCGGTGCTGTCGAGGATGATCGGGGCGTGCTCCCCCGTTGGAACTGAGTCAAAAATCGGAAAAGCTGTGTATTCCAGTGTTTCTCTCCGGCTCTTGACTCGGCGCCCCGCGAAGGCGGCGAGGATCGCCGCGCCCCAAGACCCGCGCACTGAGGCTCCTGGGAGTTGCCTTTTTTTTCTGCCCAGAGTACGCAGGCGCGTGGGGGGCGGCAGGGTTCGAGCCCGGAGATGTCCACGGGGCCCAGGAGGTTCTCGGGCCTCATCAGCTTGAGGGTTTGGGGGAGGGGGGCGCAGAGGAGGGGAAAGGGGCGCGTAGGATGCGGCCGGAGGCAGGGTCCCAGGCTGGCAGCTGGTGTCCAGATCTTGGGTTTGTAACGGTGCCCCGACTGCTGATGCCCCCGTGCTTCTAGCTTGGACCGTGTGGCCTTTGCTAAGGGACTGGCGCGGACCCGTGTGCCCGTGTGGGATTGCAGATGGGGTTGTGTTTTCGTGATTGGAGCTGTTTCCTGCGGATGTGCCATTCTTTTGACGCGGGATTGGGATGGCACCACTGAGATGCTGGTTGATTGTGCCATCCCCCCCTCTCTCTAGTTTTAGATTCACTGGGGACTGTGGGGTTTGTGGCTTCCTTTGTGAAATGCCTGCGACTGTGTGTATCCATGGAGATGGCTGTGCCCAGAAAGAAACCAGAGTATGTCACTCCTAAATGTACCTCTTTGACATAAAAATTATTTTGGGCTGAAGGCAATTTAGAAGCATCAGAGGCAGGAAAGGATCCTGCTACCCTCCCGGATTTCTGCCTAAAGACAGGCTAGAAATGATTCTGCATTGGAGAGGTTAGACTCAGCTTATAGGTGGCACCAAAGGAATCTGCAAATAAACTTTACTCGCTTGGTTTCCAGCCAATTCGCCACCCTTGGAAGCCTGAAACTGCTTTTCTTGATCCTGTCATTTCTCTACAAATTTATTGGTTTTTCTATTAAAAATGCTATATAAACTGGAGTTCAAAGGCAGCACTGTTGCTCTTGTTAAGGTTTGTCCATGTAAGACACATTCAAACCTGTAGAGAATTTTTGTGAGTTTGAGCCAAACTATCGACAATTGGGGAGCAAAATCTCAATGGATTGAGATTATGTTCCAGAGAATGGCAGTTTTGCATTTTATTTTATACATTTTAATGAAAAGAGAAGACCTAAGTGGGTTACATGAAATCCATTGGTCATAGATTATGGAGGCGGAAGAAAGTAAAGTGGGGGGAATCTTCTGGGATTGGATAAAAAGTAAAATGATAGACATATATGTTTTTTACATAGGTGGATGCAGGATAGTTAACAATAAATAATGAACTCAATAACAATATGGGGATTTGTGGTCTCTGCTCTTTTATGGTACCTGTGCTTTGATGGACAGGAAAAAGACCAAAGAAAAATGACAAAGGATATGAAAATCACAGAAAAGGAAACTTAAATGGTAATTTACCAGAAGATGCCAACTTTACTAAAGGAAAATGCATTAAACCATTAGATATAAATTCCCCTCAAAATAATAAAACCTTAAAAAACAAACACAATAACAGCCACCAATATTCAGTGCTGGAAAGTATTTGGAAAAATGAGCTCGTTTATAAATGTCGGTGGGAGCTTGACCTGCTATGTCTTTTGAGACAATCCGCTACATCTACTGTTAAAAATACACATAACTGTTCCTAATAATAGTTTCAAAAATATAACGCAGATATTGAAGGAAGGACAGTGGACAAATCACCCTTCTGGTGTGAGTTTACCTTTCTCTGCAATTAACTGAGTAGACAAGATAATCTGTGAGGATGTATATATATGAAACAATACAATTAACAGAGAACACACATTGTTATTTATGTAATAGATGTGCCATTTATGAGAACTGACCGTGAACTAGGCCATAAAGTAATTTTGAAATTCCAGCATTACCCAGAGGCATTATTTGAAATAGTGAATGCACTTATAATTCATGGATCAACAACAACAAAACATATAAAACACACACACTTAAATCTGAACAATAAAACGCTGCACACCAAAGCTTATGAATGTTTAGAAAGCAAGCTCATCATAGACTCCTACTGCGGACCCCACAGGTCCCCAATCATTGACCACTGATCGTAATCACTGAGCCCACAATCCCACATTCCTCTCTAAGGTCCCCGTCATGGACCTGTAACGCCCTGCATCATTGACCCCAGAAACCATCACTAACTTCACGGACAGTCTCCCACCCCCAATCACCGACCCCACAGAATCCCTAATCACGACCAATCCAGATCACTTTAGACACCTCTGGAGATTGAAATGTGGAGATGTTCAAGACACCAACTGCGAAAGCCATTGAAGGCCACTTGCGCTGCCAGTCGACCTCTAGCACCGCCTCTTACGGACTGTAGACACTGGGCATGCTCTGAAATACTTCGAAAGCCAGGCAGCAACACGCTGTCCGCTACATTGCAGTTTCAGTAGGAGGCGCTAACGGGCAGAGGAGATGGCCGCGCCCGAGTGTTCTTCCGCATGCGGGCCGCCATCTTGGAGGCGCGTCTTTTCCGTATAGCGGAAGAATAGGCCCTCTGCAGGTTTTCATAGGCAGGGATTGTTACATAGAATTCAGGATAGTGGCTCTTGTCAAGGGAGGCTTCCTAGAGGAAGCGTGTATTGAGGATGGGGTCCGGTGCTCTATATTATATTTAGAAAAGCTGTATTTCCCCTTGGTATTCAGCATTACTCGGAGCAATCACCTGCTGGGAGAAATCACGGGAAAGCGGGGCGCCAGGAAGGAAAAATCACCAAGGGCGGATAGACGTCTTACATGCGTTTTACCTGCGGCCTGGGAGAAATCACCCGGGGATGAGGGGAGAAGTCAGGACGGTACAATCCACTTTTTGGAGAAACCACTCAGGGAGAATGTGGAGCGGTCAGATGGGAGCCGGTTCCTGGGCGAAACCCTCTAGCAAGACAGAAAGATGTCAGAATACTAATAGTTCGCTGCAGGAAGAGTGGTTCATCCTTTCATGGGAGAAACCACATCGCTTGACGCTTCTGACAGCCCGCCCTCTTCAGCCCCATTCTGGGCTCCGGGATTACTCTCCCCGGTGCGATTTGGTTCTGAGACGTCCAGGTTTGCGCTCCCTGAGCAGTGCGGTTTCCCCGCCAATGCTCGCCCATTGATGAAGGCTAACATGGCGCGTTAGTCAGTCCCGAGTAGTCGCAGGATGGGCTACAACTCCTAGAAGAGGCGCAGCCCCACTCATCCCTGTGGAAAGCTCAATGCAGAAAGTCATCTATGACTATCTTCTACTCGGCCGGGCGCCTCAGCCCTTTCCGGCTCCAGACTACATTTCCCAGAAGTTCTTGTGGCTCTAATCAACTTCCAGAGAGAACCGGGCTACATTTTTCTGTTTCTCAAGGAATTTATGACCCCCTGGGATTGGCCGGGGTTATGGAGAGAGCGTGTGTTCAGGGTGTGGGATCTGCGTGGGATGGGAGCCGCATCCCAAGCCTGAGTCTGGATCTCAAAGGCTCCTGGCTGCGACTGGGAGAGCGGAGCAGGGCTGTCGGTTTGGCGTAGAATATGCGATATCGGGAAACCGGAGAGACGGGCGCCATCTTGACCAAACGGATCCGGGTCGAGACTACATTTCCCAGAGGCCCCCGCGGAAACAGTTCCGCTTCTTCACTCGCCTGTGGAACACTGGGCCTCTCGGGAAGGTGGAGTGTTAGGTGAGCGGCCTCGGTCTTGGGGGCTTGACTAGGTTCCTCGGGTGCGTCTCTGAGGGTTTGAAGTGACGGTCCGGGCGGGTCCGGAGTCTCGGGCCTGTGTGCGTTGGTCGGGCTGGGGAGAAGTGTGAGATTCCATCTGTACGATTGTGACCTTTTGTGCCTGTGCGGCGCTGTGCGTGTGGGTGTGATCGTACGTCCGGTGGTGGGTGTGTCATTGTGACTGATTATGCGCGGAGCTCTGTGTGCAGGTGTCACTGTGGGTATCCTCGTTGGAGGTGTGTGATTGTGACAATACGCGGCGCCGTGTGTGTAGATGTGACTGTTTATCCGTGGGTGATTGTGTGTGTTCTTATAACTTTGTGCGATAGTGTGTGTGTGTGTGGCGGGGGCGTGTAGAGACTGTTTATTACGTGGCTGTGATTGAGGGCTGCGTGTTTGCGATTGAGGCTGTGTGAATGTTAGCAGCACTAAACGTACTGGATGCCTGTGACTGTGAGGATGTGTGAGTGCGATCATCCAACTGTTTGTGGCCCTCTGTGTGCATTTGGAGGGTGTCTGTAATTGTGCCAGGGTGACAGTGTGCTGATGTGTGAGGTCAGGACAAATTTTGTTGTTGGACAGCAGACTTTTCTCCTTCGGACACCTAGAATGCTCAAGATATCCTCACCTCTCTCCACGGGTGGTAGGTGTGGGTCCAAAGCTAACACTGATCTAATGAGTTCGGGCCACGAGAAAAACCTGGCATCTCTTGATTTCTTTCTCCTTCTTCAGCTCTGCTTCTCAGAGAGGCCCTCAGAAGAAGGAGGAATGGCTGTCGACCAAACCAAATGCAAGGTGCACTGGGGTTTCCTTTTTGCTCTCTTTCTCCTGGATGGTCTTGTTTAACATAGGCGCATTAAGTGTCTTCTTCCTACAAATTTCCATTCGAGAAAATAATGGGAAGCCCTGGGGGTGGGCACAGAAATCCCAGTGTACATACACCCTCATTTCCTCCTATATAATGTTTGTATATTAATTTAGAAAACAGCTCAATTACTCCAGTGTGCTAAGTTTTCCTATTTTAAACACACACACAACATGTTTATTTTAAAGAATTTGGAAAATAGGAAGCTACAAAGAGTATAGCCAGTCAATATTTTGATTTATTTCCTTCGAATAAGTTTCTTATGCATATATAGTATACATTACTTCAAGATTGGAATCTCATAGAGTTTACGATTTCATAGCTTATGTTTTCACTAAAAATTATCTATAGCTATTATATAGTTTCTTTTTCATTCTTTTAAAAAAAATTCCTGAATATTGCATACATACACAAAAGTGCTTAAAATATAAGCATATAGTTTAAGAAGTAACTGTAAAGGGAAACTCTGTATAACAAAAACTTGCATCAGCACTCCAAAAACCCCAGTTAATCCTACCCAAAGAAAAAACTATTCACCTCTTTAGGTAATCCTTATCTTGACTTTAAGGTGGTAAGTTTTTGTTGTTGTTTCATTTTTTTTTAAATAGTCTACCACACATTTATACATCCCTAAAAGATATAGTTTAATTTTGACATTTAACTTTATAGAAATGAAATTGTTCTGTGTAATGTTGTTTTGAGTCTTGCCTTACTTATACAATACTATATTTCTTTAGGATCACTCTTGTGAGTTGTTACATATAGCTGTAGTTTGGACACTGGTTGTTTCCAGTTTTTGGCTCCTTTGAAAGGACTGCTCTGAACATATATTTATAAGTATCTTGGTGCACACATGGATGCTTTCCTAGGGCATAGACATTCAGTGGAATTGCTGGGCTTTACGATATGTATCTTTAAATTTCCTAGATATTGCTGAACTGATTTTCAATATGCTTGTACTAGTTATATTCCTACAAGCAGTTTATAAACATAGTCATCCTTTGTTCTCTCTATTACTTGGTTACTTGGTATTTTAATTTTGATGAATCTGCAGATATAATGGTATATCACATGGTTTAAAAAGGATAACATACATTTCCCAAGGTATGTTGTGATTCGAGAGGACACTTGATTTCGCCTCGACCTGTCAGCTACTTCCTCTCCCTTCTGAGGTTGCCTGGGGATCAAGCAGTCAGGCACTCCATGGGAAATTAGTTGCTGCTTCAGAGCCAAACCCCTCAGTCTCTCTGCCAGAGTCTCCAACTCTAGTTACCCCTAGTGGGGCTTGCTGCAAGTTCAGGTTGGGTACAGCCAGCTGTTTTTCTGCAGGAGCAAGTTCAGCTGCTCTGGGCTCGGAGTAGATCAAAAGAGTCTCCCATTGACAATGATGCTGGCTCAGCCTGTGGGAGGGTTCTAAGCACTTTGTCCTAGTCCCAGATACTACCCTCCCAGGGTCTCACACTTTGAATACCCTCACTTTGCTCCGCTCTTCTTTTCTCCACCTAACTGTGCCTAGCAGGGGTTCCTGGGACTTGCCAGACTTATCCAAACAGTCTCCCATTGAGGGTATTGCCCACAACCTGTAGAAGGGGAGGCAGGCATTTCCTTTCCTTCCCGGGATAGTGTGGGCTGAACTTGCAGGGGAGCTCAGATCTGACTCCCCGCAATGTAGCCACAGGGCACAGCATCTGGCTCCTAGACAGAAGGCTCCTCTGGAGACAAAGTCCAAAAATCCCAGCTCTGCACAGCTCACCAGCACCCTTGCACTGCCAAACCAAGCAGGAGGGGGGCTGAAAATCATCCTTGTGCCATACTCTGATCTCTCCGCGTGACTTGTCTCAGCAGGGCAGGGCCAAAATTCCCAGCTCTGCCTGGGCTTCAAACCCAGCAGGATGGGCTGAAAGTCCTGTGTGGTTAAACCCAGCAGGACAGGTCGAAAATCCCATCCCATCCCTGTGCTCCCCCCCCCTCCCCGCGTGCCACAGAAGCCAGCAAGATGGGGCAGGCCAAGCAGCTCAACAGGTTGAGGGGAGGGGTGATGACCCTGTGCTCAAGGTAGAAGTGATCATTCCTCTTTCCCAAGCCACACAGTTTAGTCAAAAGTTTTTCAGAGAATAGAGGGACCCTCAAAGTCACTGCTGGTGTAGCCAGCAGACCCCTCTGTAGGACCTGAGTACAGCAGCATGGCCTCTCCAGCAGTCGGAATCCTGAGCAAACTCCCCAGGCTGCAACATTGGGAGTGCTCCTTCCCTAGGATGGTGCGATTCCAGCTTCCCAGGCTGACGGAATCCCCACTGATTCCCACTGTCCGTTACTAGGTGTTGCTAGGCGTTGCCAGGCGGGATCCTCTTCTTGTCTCTGTTGCTTTGGGTTGGGGATCCCTAAGTAGGGATGTCGTAGGGGGAGGCAGTTTTGCAGCGGTGATATCCCTCCAGCTTCTTAGCCCCAGCACCTGCCTGAGGGGACTCTGCCTTTCTGAGTCTCCACCCCTCTTACCAGTCTCTATGTGGCTGCTTCTGTGCTCCTTTGGTTATAATATTTCAGATCAGCTATACTTCAGTTGGTTTTTCCAGTTGATTGCTCTGTAATTTAGCTGTAAATCTGGCTTGGATGCAAATCCCAGCTACTCTGCAGCCATCTTGGAATCTCCCTGATTCTAATAGTTTTTTTATAGCTCTCTTGATTTCTGATTTAACAGAATATTCCAACTCATTTTTTAATTTCTGGCTGAATCCTGAAATCATCTCTTTTCCCAAAGAGCCTTTGTTCCTTTTATTTACATTGCACATTGCTACTGTCTAGGCCTTTTTTCTTTTCTTTTTTTAAATTAAGTATAGTCGATATACAATCTTATATTGGTCATATTAGTTTCCTGTGCACAATATAGTGATTCAACATTGTTATACCTTACCATGTGATCACCCCACTAATTCTGGTAATTATCTGTCACCATGTAAATTTATCACAATATTATTGACTATGTTCCCCTTCTGTTTTTCACCCATTTCTCTGCCCCCTTGCTTCTGGTAACCATCCCTTTGGTCTTTGTTTCTGAGTGTTTTGGCTTTCTTTCTTTTTTGTTCTTAGATTCCACATATAAGTGAAACCTGTACTTTTTCTCTGCCTGACTTATATCGCTTAGCATAGTACTCTCTAGATCCATCCATATTGTTGCAAATTGTAAGATTTTTCTTTTTTAGTGCTGTGTAATATTCCATTGTACACACCACATCATCTTCATCCACTCACCTATTGGTGGATGGTGTTTCCATACCTTAGCTATTATAAATAATGTAATGAACACAGGGGTGCATATATCTTTTCGAATTAGTGTTTTTGTTTTCTTTGGATAAATACACAGAAGTGGAATTTCTGGGTCATAAGATATATATATCTTTAGTTTTTTGAGCTATTTCCGTACTGTTTTTGATGGACCAAGTCAGGAAATTGTTTTCTTTTTAAAATTAATTTTAATTTATTTTTTTGGTCATTTTAAATTTTTTTAGATTCATAATGATTTTATTTTTAAAAATTTATCTTTATTGTTGAAAGTATTATTGATGTCCTCTTTTTTCTCCCCATTGACCCCCCTCCTCCCCACTTCTGTCCCCACCCCAGGCCTTCACTGCTCTATTGTCTATGTCCATGGGTTATGCATTTATGCATACAAATTCTTTGGTTGATCTCTTCCCTTACAGTTGACATGCAATATTATATTAGTTTCAGGTGTATGCTCCAATGATTAGACATTATATAACTTACTAAGTGATCCTCTCAATAAATCTAATAAGCCTCTGACACCATACATAGGTATTTGAATATTATTGACTATATTCCCTATGCTATACTTTACATTCCAGTGACTACTCTGTAACAACCAATTTGTTGTTCATAATATTTTCACCCGTTTCCCTACCCCTGTTCCATCTGGCAACCATCAAAATGTTCTCTGAATGAGTGTTTCTGTTCTGCTTGTTTGTTTGTTTGTGTTTTTTAGATTCAGTTGTTGATAAATACATATTTTTTGCCAGCTTATTGTTCGTATTTTTATCTTTTTTTCCCTTTCTTCTTAAAGAAGACCCTTTATCATTTCATATAATACTGGTTTGATGTTGATGAACTCTTTTAGCTTTTTCTTTTCTGGGAAGCTCTTTATATGTCCTTCAATTCTAAATGATAGCTTTGCTGGTAGAGTAATCTTGGCTGTAGGTCCTTGATTTTCGTCACTTTGAATATTTCTTGGCAATCCCTCTGGCTTGCAGTTTCTGTTGAGAAATCAGCTGACAGTCTTATGGGAGCTCTCTTTAAAGTAACTAACTGCTTTTCTCTTGGGGCTTTTAAGATTTTCTTTGTGTATTTAACCATTTGCATTTTATTATGATGTGACTTGGTGTGGGCCTCTTTGGATTCATCTTGTTTGGGACTCTCTGTGCTTCCTGGAATTACATGTTTGTTTTCTTCACTAGGTTAGGGAAGTTTTCTGTCATTTTTTTCTAATAGGTTTTTAATTTTTGCTCTCTCTCTTCTTCCAGCACCCCCATGATGCAAATGTTGGTACCCTTGAAGTTGTTCCAGAGGTTCCTTACACTGTCTTCATTTTTTTGACTTGTGTGTGTGTGTGTTCTGATTGGATGTTTTCTGCTTCCTTATACTACAAATTGTTGATTTGATTCTTGGCTTTGTCTACTCTACTGTTGATTGCCTGTAAATTCTTCATTTTCTGTTAGTGTATCCTTCATTTCTGTTTGGTTCTTTTTTACGGTGTTGAGGTTCTCACTAAGTTCATTGAGCGTCCCTTTAACCAGTGTTTTAAACTCTACATCTAGTAGATTTTTGGTCTCCATTTGTTTAGTTCTTTTTCTGGAGTTTTGTTTTTTCATTTGGGACATGTTTCTTTGTCTCCTCATTTTGGTAGCCTCCCTGTGTTTGTTTCTGTGTGTCAGGTAGAGCTGCTGTGTCTCCTGGGCTTGGTAAGGTGGTCTAATGAAGTAGATACACTAAAGGGTCCAGTGGCACAGCCTCCCCTTTTACCCAACCTGGACACACGAGGTGCACCCTTCCCCATGTGGGCTGTGTACACCTCCTGTTGTAGTTGAGCCTTCATTGCTGTTGGCACATCAGTGGGAGGGATTTACTCCCAGGCCAATTGGCTGCAAGGACTGGCTGCAACCACTGACTGCCATGGAGGATCAGCTGTGTAGGGGCCCGACACAGAGCAGCACTTATTTTAGTGGGGCTCCGATTTCCCTGAGTCTGTCCCTTGAGTGTGTACCTTGTGGAGGTGGTTGGGTGTTGCTTCAGTGTTGTCTGAAGCTGCTCTGGGCCTCCCTGGAGGTGCAGGTCAAAGTCAGCTGCTGCCTGTGTTCTGTCCAGGGCCACCCAGCATGAGCTACAAAGCAATCTGCAGATGGCTGCTACTTGTGCTAGGCTTGGAGGTGCCCAGGTGAGGCCAAGCTGCAGACCAGGGCTAGCTGCTGCTAGTTCTGTGCCTGGGGCCACTTAGTGAGAGGTAAGGGGCATGCCAAGGACAGATGCTGCTTGTTTGAGAAATTTAGGCAAGTCTGAAGCACAAGCCAAGGTGGGCCATTTCTATGTAAAAGCCACTGGACACAGCTTATGTGGGCCCCCAAGTTGGGTGGGGCAGACTCGCAGGGAATCCCCAGGGTGAGGTGAACAATGTGAGTCAGGTTAATGGAGGCTCAGCTTTGGCACTCACCTGCCCGCTTTGTTGGGGGAGGGCTCAACAAAGGAGCAGTGGCCTGTATTAGCACTTTTGTCTGGCAGAAAGCTGCCTACCCCCATCCTCTTCCCCTGATGCCGACACGTCAGTTCCTCCCCATTTGTCCCTGGTGCCTTTCGAGCTGCTGCCCCAGCACTGGAGCTCAGGGGTAGTGAGTTCCAGTAAGTCTGGGCCCTTTAAGAGGAACTGCTTGGGACTCCAGCAGCCCTCCTTCTCACTCTGCCACAATCATAGCTGGTTTTTACAGCCTGAAGTTATGGGGACTTCTCTTCCTGGCACTGGAACTTGGCTGGGGGCCTAGTATGGGGCTGGGGCCCTTCAACTTTCACAGGGGACCTCTGAAGCTGAGATAATCTCTCCTGATTTTTATGTGCCACGTCACATGTGGTTTTGAGACCATCTCATTCCTTGTCTCTGCCCCTCCTACCAGTCTCAATGTGGCTTTTTAAAAAAATTCCTAGTTGTAAGACTTCCATTCAGGTAGGTTTCAAGCAGTTCTGAATGATTGTTGTTCTGTAGCTTAGTTGTAATTTTGATGTGGTTTGTTTGTTTTTTAATGGAAAATAAACTTATTACTCTTGCTTCTGTTTCTGAAATTCAAAGATTCTGGTTCTCAGTGACACCTCTATAATTGCTTATTTGCTTTACCCCACAACACAAGCACAATAGTCTGAAGTATTTCTTTCATTACACAATTGTACATATGTTTATTGTTTCAGGAATCAGTGATGTTCAGGGATGTGGCTGTAGATTTCTCTCAGGAGGAGTGGGAATGCCTGGACCCAGCTCAGAGGGACTTGTACAGAGATGTAATGCTAGAGAACTACAGCAATCTGCTGTCAGTGGGTAAGGGCATCTATACCAGTAATTTAGAGTTCTGTTTTGAAATGTCTGTTTCTTCCACAGTGAATTTCTCAGCTGGTTTTTGAGTTACTAGCTGCATTTCTGTTCCCTATCCCCAAATAAATGGTTGGAACTGAAATGAAAAGGAAGAGTGGGCAATGGGAAGCTCCAGTTGGCTGTGGCTGAATTTTCATCTTTTTTTTCCTTTGGCTGTTCCTGTAGTGGCATCTCTTTTTTGATTATCAAGGGACTGGATCTAACATATGGATCTGATTTACCCACAACATAACCATGTTTCATATCTTTTCTTGTGAGCAGGACTTTACATACCTAAGCCCCAAGTTATCTCCTTATTGGAACAAGGGAAAGAGCCCTGGATGGTTGGCAGAGAGCTGACTAGAGGTCTGTGTTCAGGTGAGTGAGAAATGATTAAACAAAGGAGAGCATTACTTACAATTGCAGTTTTACTATAAAGGATACATACTAGGCCAAGGTCTGATAGGCTTCCAGATGCAGAGGTTCCACACCCTCACTGTTGTGTCATAATGTATCACCCTTTTGGCATTTCAGTGTGTTTACTGACTAGACTGTTCCAATAAGCTTTAGTGTCCAGAGTTTTTATTGTGATTTAATAACATTGACATGATTGATTGAGGCATTGGCCACTCAATTTCTGGCCCCTGTTGTCTCTCCAGATGTTGAGTAGCTGAAAGTCCCAAACCTCTAATCACATACTTGGTCTTTCTGGTGACCAGTGTCTATCCCAAAGCTATCTAAGGACCCACTATGTTTTTCCTCATTAGCATAACAAAACCACTCCTATCATTCAGGAAATTCCAAGTGTTTGAAGCTCTGTGGTAGGAACCAGGTACAAAGACCAAATTTATTTTGTATTATATCAAGAGCCCAAGAATCTTCCCCTATTCCTCTCAAGAGGCCTTTAATGGAGGTCAGAAAATTACCCAGTTTTTGTAATACATATATACACATGCATGCGTATATAGATGTATATAGAACTAGTCATTTTTTTATATGCTCAATCATTGTATATTTACCCACCTTTCCAGATGATTCCGATCTACATCAGTATTTGCGAATGATTGTGGTTTTCTATTTCCATAGTCTTTTCCTTCCACTTTCTGCATTATACAGTCATGCACCACTTAACAGGGATACCTTCTGGAAAAGGTATCATTAGGTGATTTCATCGCTGTGTGAACATCAGAGTGTACTTACACAAACCTAGATGGCATAGCTTACTACTGTCATTGTATGTGCTATACTTTTATACAGCTGGCAGTGCAGTAGGATTGTTTACACCAGCTTCACCACAAACACATGAGTAATATGTTGCACTACAACCTTAGAACAGCTAGGATGTAACTAGGCAATAGGAATTTTTCAGTTCTATTATGTACTTATGGGACCACGATTGCATATGTGGTCTATAATTGACTGAAATGTCATTGTAGGGTATATCGCTGTATCTCAATACTTTCTGTACCTTTCTTGTCCAATTTCAGAATGAACAGATGTACTTGAGAACTGTATGTCATTTACTACCAGATATTTTCACTATAACTTTTCCATTTCTATTATAAAAGTTTAACTTTTCACAAATGGGATGGAAAGAATATTTACTATTTTCTTTTCTTTCAGATCTGGAATCAATGTGTGAAACCAAGTTATTATCTTTAAAGAAGGAAGTTTATGAAATAGAATCATGCCAGAGGGAGATAATGGGACTTACAAAGTATGGCCTTGAGTATTCTCATTATGGAGATGTTTTGGAATATGGCAGCCACCTTGAAAGACAACTGGGATATCAAAATGGGCATTTCAGCCAAGAAATATTTACTCATGGATACATGCCTACATTTATTCAACAGACATTCTTTACTCTACATCAAATAATTAATAATGAAGAGAAACCCTATGAATGTAAGAAATGTGGGAAAGTCTTTAGTCAGAATTCACAATTTATTCAACATCAGAGAATTCATAATGGTGAAAAATCCTATGAATGTAAGGAATGTGGGAAATTCTTTAGTTGTGGCTCACATGTTACTCGACATCTGAAAATTCATACTGGTGAAAAACCCTTTGAATGTAATGAATGTGGAAAGGCCTTCAGTTGTAGCTCATACCTTTCTCAACATCAGAGAATTCATACTGGTAAGAAACCCTATGAATGTAAGGAATGTGGTAAAGCCTTTAGCTATTGCTCAAATCTTATTGACCATCAGAGAATTCACACTGGTGAAAAACCCTATCAATGTAAAGTATGTAGGAAAGCCTTTACCAAGAGCTCACAACTTTTTCAACATGCAAGAATTCATACAGGTGAGAAACCCTATGAATGTAAGGAATGTGGCAAAGCTTTTACTCAGAGCTCAAAGCTTGTTCAGCATCAGAGAATTCACACGGGTGAGAAACCCTATGAGTGCAAGGAATGTGGCAAAGCCTTTAGTAGTGGCTCAGCACTTACTAATCACCAGAGAATTCACACTGGGGAAAAACCCTATGATTGTAAGGAATGTGGCAAAGCTTTTACTCAGAGCTCACAGCTTCGACAACATCAGAGAATTCATGCTGGTGAGAAGCCCTTTGAATGTCTTGAATGTGGAAAAGCATTTACTCAGAACTCACAACTTTTTCAACATCAGAGAATTCATACAGATGAAAAACCTTATGAATGTAATGAATGTGGAAAGGCTTTTAATAAATGTTCAAACCTTACTAGACATCTGAGAATTCATACTGGTGAAAAGCCCTATAACTGTAGGGAATGTGGGAAGGCATTTAGTAGTGGCTCAGATCTCATTCGTCATCAGGGAATTCATACTGATGAATAGTAATAGTTAAAGCTCTCGTTATCTTCCTAATATGTTAAACAAAAAATAATGTTGGAGAATTACCTTTCACTATTTTTGTTTCATGTGTGTGTATGTGTATGTGTGTATATACACATACACACACACACACATATGTACATATATATAATCTCCATCCAAATATCCAAATGTATTTCACTCTATTTTATAAATTCAGATTCTAAATTGGCATTTACCCATACCTCCCCAATATTGTACTAATTGCAGATGTTCAATAATTCTTTCCCTTTATTTTGTTATACCTTCTTGGTGTTAATGTTATATTATTCTTTATATTTGCTTGTGTTTCACAGCCATTTTGTCTTTTCTAATATACATATTTGTGCTTAAATTGTGTGATCTTGTGTTTTTTAATTCCTGTGAAATTGCGTATCATTACTTAGTAAAATAAAAATTAAAAAACTAAAAAAATAAAGGTGGTGTGACCCTGAGAAGTCATACTGATTTTCATAATTATCTTATTATTTATGGGAAGGATTTTAACCATGTTGTTTACCTTTGTATAAATCAAAGAATTTGTAATGAAAAAAGAGAAATGAGTGTAATGTGTATAGGAAAGCTTTTCTCATCATTCATTACTCAGCATGCATTTTTAAAAGGAAAAGAAAAATTATATGTGAGTAGTCTTAATTCAGACTTCATCTTTTACGCTGCACAAAGATGAATACCAGTGTTAAACCTTGTGAATATAATGATGGGTCATTATAAGCACAGCTGTTAAAGTAAAAATGGACGAAAATATTTTTTCTAATACTTAGTTTTCCACCAAGCAGAAAATATACAGGTCAAATTATTTGACCAGAGTTACAGTAAGATAGGAATCAAAATCTGAATACTAATTCAGTGCCCCCTTTAATTAACAGGAGTTAAGGAATGAAATCCTTAATATACATATTAATTAAATGTGAATGAAGCCTGGCCAGGCGGGGCTTAGCGGTTGAGCATCGAGCTGGGATCCAGGAGATCTTGGCTCGATTCTGAGTCAGGGCACATGCCCAGGTTGCAGGTTCAATCCTCAGGGGTGTGCAGGAGGCAGCCAATCAATGACTCTCATCATTGATGTTTTTCTCTCTCCCTTTCTCTCTCTGAAATCAATAAAGATATATTAAAAAAAAGCTTTCCTTAAAAAAAAAGTGAATGCAAATGAGAACACAATTGAAAAACAAAGAGCTTCATTAATCGAACACTTTAATTAAAGTGCTTGATTAGACTAAAGCACTTCATCAATTAAAGCACTTCATTAATCAAGCACTTCAGTAGATTAAATCGATTCATTCCATTAAAGTGCTTTGATTAGATCAAAGTGCTTGATTAGGTTAGAGTACTTGCTTAGACTAAAGCGCTTCATTAATTATGAGCTTTAAAGCACTTCATTAAGCATTTCATTAAAGCGCTCCAGTAATTAAAGTGCTTGATTAATTCTCAAGGTCACACCACCTTTATTTTTTAAATTTTTATTTCACTGAGTTGTGATAAGTGCTTTCTCTGAGTTATGGTTGGTGATTCCTGTGTCATGGTTGGTGAGTTTTTGCTGAGTTATGGCTAGCGATTTTTCAGAGTCCTGGTTAGTTGTCTTAAGTTGTTTCACTGAGTCATTGTAAGTGATTTTGCAGAGTCATCTAATCTCTTCAGTGCTTAAACCCCAGTTTGGTATTGTTTACAGTCCTAACTAGATTAAGATGATCCAGATTGCTAGTGCCCATAACTTTCTTAAGCTTTTGAAGACAGAGAGAGGAAAAACTGTACTTATTCGGTATGCAGCTCAAGCTCCAACCCACACCACCTTTAAATAGAGGAATTAGGATCTATGTGTAGGATTAACTAGCCCCTACTCCAGAATGCTGAAGCTCAGGCCCTTCAAAGAGGTATAATTCTAGGTAGAGTAACAACCAGTCAGAGACTTGGAAATCTGTCCCTGCCTTCCAGGTACCAGATTTCCTCTCCCTTCCCTGGTGAGAACCCCAGACTCCTTTTATGGATGTGGGAAATAAAATGAGTTGAATGAGCTAGAAACTTAAATTGTTATAAAGCTATTCAAGAGAAATCTGTGTGCTTCATTAATTAAAGCACTTGATTAGAGTGCTTGATTAGATTGAGATATTTTCCCTCTATACCCACTTTATTTAGAATTTTAATCATAAATGGATGTTGCATCTTGCCAAATGCTTTTCCTGCATCTATTGATATATTTTATCTTTTATTTTGTTAATGTGGTGTATTACATTGATTATGTTAAAACATCGGTGTGCCCCTGTAATGAACCCCACTTGATCGTGATGTGTTATTTCTTAATGTATTGCATTTGATTTGCTAGTATTTTGCTTAGGATTTTTGCATCTGTATTCATCAGAGATTTTGGTATAGTTTTGTATTTGTGTGTTATCCTTGCCAGGTTTTGGTACTGGGGTTAAGTTGGCCTCATAAAATGTGTTGGGAAGTACTGCCTCTTCTTCAGTTGTTTGGAAGTTTGAGAAGGATAGGTATTAAAACTTCTTTAAATGTTTGGTGGAATTCACTAGTAAAGCCATTTATCTGGTCCTGGACATTTACTTTTTGAGAGGTTTTTGATGGCTGTTTCAGTTTTCTGACTGTTGATCAGTCTATTTAAGAGTTTCCAGTTCTTCATGATTCAGTCTGGGAAGGTTATATATTTCTAGGAACTTACCCATTTCTCCTAGATTATTGAATTTGATGTCATATAGTCTGTCATAATATTCTTGTATGATCCTTTGTGTTTTCGTGATGTCTGTGGTAACTTTTCATTTCTGATTTTGAGTCTTTTCTCTTTTTTCCTTAATGAATCTAGCCAGAAATTTGTCAATTTTATTAACTTTTTCAAAGAACCAGCTCTGTTGCATTACTTTTTCGTAGTTTTTTCTCCCTCTATTTTATCCGATTCTGCTCTTTTTATTGTTTTCTTTTTTCTGCTCACTTTGGGCTGCTTTTGTTCTCCTTTTACTAGTTCTTTAAGATGTAATGTTAGATTGTTTATGTGAGATTTTTCTTGTTTCTTGATATAGGCCTGTAATGATATAAACTTCCCTCTTATTACTTCTTTTACTGCATCCCAAAAGTTTTGATATGTTATGCTGTCATTCTCATTTGTCTCTAGGGGTTATAAATTGTGTTCATGGATTTGCCAATCTAAAGAGTGCTAATTATTTAATTTTGGGTGTCACTAAAATTAAGGCTTCTAAAGGTTTGGAATTCTAATTAAGATGGAAAGAAACAGTAGGTTTTAGTAATAGAAGGCATAAGGTATGGAAGTAAATTTTTGAAGGAATTAAAATAACAAGGTTTGTTTTAAAATAAGGTTATTTCTAAATAAGTAAAAAGAAAAACTTATAGAAGGTCTTTAAAGAAAAATCTTGAGGAAATTTTACATATGGTTAAATTGAATAGAATTGAACTTTAATTAGGCCAGTAAATTTAAATATCACATGTAAGCTAATGTAGAATGGGAATTTTGTTTTTTGCTCAGTTAAAAGATAAAGTCTTTCCTGTACTTACTGTTCTACTCCAGGTAAGATTATAAAAAAATTCTACCTAGAAAGCACAGATTCTATTTTTATTAAAATAGTCCTGTCATATTGTTTTAATTAGGGTCTTGATTACTTAAGAAAATAATCTTCTGAATCCTAAGAACTACAGTTTTACTAAACCACATTTGTATTTGATATCTTTTATTATCACTTTGTGTAAATAGGTAATTACTGTTTCATAATAATATATGATCTATTTGGTCAAGTATGTTTGATAGACTTCCCAGGGTTTAAATTTTAAAAGGAGACTTAGCCCATGGGCATGGTTCAGCAGTTGAGCGACGACACAGGAGATTGCGGTTGGATTCCCCGTCAGGGCGCATGCCGAGTTTCGAGCTCAATCCCCAGTGGGGGGCATGCAGGAGGCAGCCGATCGATGACTGTCATCATTAATGTTTCTATCTCTCCCTCTCCCTTCCTCTCTCTCTGAAATCAATAAAAATATATTAAAAAATAAATAAAAGGAGACTTAACCTGGAAATGGTTCTGGGTTATTCAAATGGACCACTGAAATATGTGAAAAGATTTGCTTTTTCTCTTGGCAAGGGCATGGTTTTGAACTAATTAGGCCTATCTGATATGCTTGAACTGCATGGGAAGCTTGTCAACTAAGGAAATAGTTGTGTTATATTTGTGTGTATATATTCTTATTATTAAATGCATATTACATATTAGAGATCATATAAAAATCTCCAGGAATTTACAAAGTTTTGATATGATACTCATTTGTAATTCTTATTCTAAAGTGTTATGTTACAGAAAAGTAAAGTCCCTAATCAGATTTATAACCATGTCATTTAAAGTTTTGTCATTTCCAGACAGTCATTGTTTTACTCTGATGCTTTTACAAGTATGTTTCATCTCCAGAAAGATCCATAAAAAACACTGACTTATTCTAAAATAGACTTTTCTGAGAATAAACATTCAGATCATACCTTTATACTAGATGAAGATTTATAAAACTCTAAGGAACAACTGGAATTACGAAATGCTGGCAAAGGATCAAGATAAACAAAAATTAATTATATAAAACTATAAACTGAGGATAATTATTTTTATGACTTTTTGTTTGAAGTATTGATTTTTAATATTTTTTTCAATATAACAAAACTGGTGTTTTTTTTCTTAGAGCAGTTTGGTAAATAATACCTTTGTAAGCAATATTGAAACATATTTCTCTCCCTACCTGATCCCTTCAGAAATTTGGAGACTCTAAATGAGTATTATTATTATCATGGCAATATAGTTATTTGTGTGCATAAGTTTGATAGTAATCTATTCTCTTTATAAGAGGATACAATTAGAAACTGTTGATGAGTTTTCGACTGGAATATCATATTTTAAAAATACATGCACAGACTATGAAGTTCACTGGAAAGCTCTAAGGAATTAAGACTGACTTTGGAAGCTCATAAAAGCCCCTTGGAAGAACAGTTTGATTTACTTACATGGTTCACAACAGTCTTTCCAGGTAAAAAACGAAGGTTAGTTTCCTGGGAGATGCAAAAAAGAATGAGACATTTTGA